TTTAAACGAAATTATATCAAGTATAGAATCTTAGATACTCCTTTTACTTAAATAATATTTTTTACTTTACATAGAAGGTCTTTTTTGTGATTAAAAAATGTGTAAATGTAGAACCTCACCATTTCCTCGACAGATGGTTCCTTCACCCTATATTTTTCTTTACAAAAAACGAAGGAAATGACGTTTAATAAAGTTTTTTTTGCGTTAAATATGTATATATTTAATAGTACATGGGTACATTTGTACCCCATTTGAACTTTTACGTAGGAACAATTTATGTATTACTACCCAGGAGGAAAAGTCGGACGAATGTCGGATTATACAACCGCCTGGGATCCGCGCCCGTACGGACCGCCAGCACCGATGGTCTGTACCGATTCGGATCCTAAAATGCAACCGGCGCGGAACAGATTAGGCTCCGACTTTTGGATCCGCCTTTCTACTTTCGTCAGTACTGGCGCGGTACTGGATTTGTTCCGCCTGCAGATTTCATTCTTCTACGGGCGTCGGAAGAATGACGGATGTTAGGTCTGTACTGGCTCGGTGCTGGGGCGGATCCGACTGCGGATCTCGTCATTTATTGTTATAGTTTACATTATCAGTATAATCATAAATTTATTTTATTATTATAATTAATTATTACAATAACTAATTGCATTTATTATAATATTATTATTAGTTAACCAATAAATAAATTAATAGTATTCATGCAAAGGAAGAATATAAGAAACTTAATTTTTTCATTATATATATAAAAATCCAACTTTATTAATGTGCAATAAAATAAATAATTTTTAATAAATAATATATTAATTTGAAAGAAGTAAAATATATTTAACTTGAAAGAAAATGTGATCAATATATTATAATGCCTACAATAAATAACATATTAAATACAATATATAAAAAAGAGATTATTATTAATTAATTTATTATTAATTAATTAATAATCTCTTTTTAATTTAAACAATATATTAAGTAATTATTTATTGACACTTTTCTGCAAATTAAATAATTAAAAAAATGTGTTGTGCATTAAAATTTTATTCAATTTAATACTATTACTTATATGTTATAAATTGTTTTGCAGTGAAGTTATGTTCATATTATTCGATATATTATGTAATAAAATATTAAAAAACATAATAATAAAAATATAACATTTTTTTTTAAACGAAATATTGAAATATTCATAAATACACATTCAGTAAAGTATTGAAAATATACCGGAATTACATCAGTTCATATTTCCAAATTGCCTATTGCCGCGTAGTAATTTTACAATTTTCATTTTAGCTAGTGAGACTTGAAAGCATTTAAGATTTGAGAGTTCCATGCGAGCGTAGCATAGTGGTTAGCGTGCGTGATTTCGGTGCGTAAATATTCGGTTAGGCGTAGGTTCGTACCCCCAAGCGTTAGGATTTTTCAAATGTCTATGTAATAAAAAATTGCGTTTAAGTGTATAAAAAAATAAAAAAATGTGTAAAGTGAACTATCAATGAATTGTTATCAGTATTTATCTTTTGCAATTAATTATTATTTTTTTATTGATATTTGTTGAAATTATTATTTTGATCCGAGCCGGTTGTCAGGCGGTAGAATGCCAGCATTGCCAGCGTACATCTGGCTAGGAAATGAAAGATCCGCAGTCGGTACAGTGCCGTGTCCCAGCCGGTTGAATTATACACGGAACGGCTTCTCCCGGCCGGTCAACGGGCGGTAGAATGCCAGTTCCGAGACGGATGGCCAGCCAGCTCCTGGCCAAGTCATCTTTTGGTAGAATACCAGATCTCGGGCGGTAGGCAGGCGGTTCCCAGCCAGTACCACTACTCCGGCGTCGGTACAGGCGAGGATCCGCGCCGGTTGGAAATTTCCCACTGGCGGGTATCTACACGGAAAAAGTATCGGCACGTTAGATGTACAGGTTGTGTCAAATTTTCTTCTACATTTATTTTGCACGCCATCTGTGCCAGTTTGGCGTATCTGACGTGCATTATGTACGTCTGATATCTCGAAATGGCACCTTAGACGTGCAAAATGAAATGTACTGCTGTTGACACTGTCCTCGGCGCATCTAATGTCACAGAATTTTGTCCGTGTAGGGTTCAAATAATTTGACTTGCTGTGTGTGTGAATCGGGAAAATGTACGGTAATCCATATAAACATAATATTTTCATAAATATCTCGAGTTCCAGAAGAGCTAAAGGGATGAATGTTTTTTATAGTAAATCTCATTGTCGGACAAATAATTAGTAATCTTATTCATCAAGTTTAACTTTGTTTTCTCATGTTCTAAACTGTTCTAAAACCCAAAAATGTTTGTTTTTAATTTTTTATTATTCATTGGATTTATTGTATAAATATTTATATTTATATAAATAATATTTGTATTACTTTGTATTATTAACAATACAATTTTTTTAATAATAAATTGTTATTTAATTCAGAGCTTTTTGAGACGCTTCTTTTGACCACTTACTGAACATTTTTCGGACATGTTAACCAAAGTTATTGATATTTGAAAAATTAGAAATTTTGGAAAAATAACCTTTTGTAGTTTTTGGTATTAAATTTGCAATAATATAAGACAATAATGAAATTTTAATGAGGAAGTAAAGTGTTCACAAAATACGAACACGAAAATTGAAGTTTTAACTTTGCAGCGTTTTTTGTGTTGTATTCATGATCACCGTAGCCAAAAATATAAGAATACAATATTTACATACATAAGAAATGACAACAGACATTATAATAATCGGGAAATAGTTATCACGCCTTTTTATCATTTTTACCGCTCTGTAAAAGGTCATGCTTGACGCTTTCTTTTGGTATTATACCGCTAAAGTGGTTAATACTATTATAAATTTATTTATTAATTTTCTTAATTTTCAATGATTTAATAAAAAGTACTTTTATAATTTTTTTATATCAATTTTGTTTTTATTAGATTCCTATTTTTATTATTATTTATCCTTTATACCTATAATTATTATTATGGAGATTTATTTTTGTTAGGAACAACATTAAAATTGTTATAAACTTACTAATTAATAGCAAAAAATATCTACTTTTAATATTAAAGAAAAAATGAAATTTTATAACTATGTTTAAAAATAAAAATATTATTATTAAATACAGAATTCTCAATAATTAAATTTGCAGTTCTGTCTGAGAACTGTTTTGTTAATATTAACAAAAATAAGTCAATAAAATTAATTTCCTTCAGAGGTAAAACATTTTTTTAATTGTATTTTTGTAATGTTTATTAGAATATTAAATACTTTAAGAAAATTATAATGACATAAAGTCAGTACTGCGCCAACATTGGATCAATACTTCTGTATTGTTTCAGATTTATAAAGTATGTCACCTTTTCCATTCACTACGAGTTATGAGAAAATCTTAAATTCTTTAAAGTTACAAATATTAAGTGACGGATAAAAACTTGAAAGAGGTAAATTTTGAGGTGAAAGAATCAAGTAAAATAGTTGATTTTCAAGTGAATTTTCTGAAAATATTTATCTCTGAGTAACAGTTGAATTAGAAGTTATATATATATATATATATATATATATATATATATATATACAGTACGAAAACCTACCACGTCAGTCACATCCCATGAGTGGGAGTGAGACAGACTTATGCGATTCCCATACTTTCCTATGACTGACGGATAGCTTTTCTTACTATATATATATATATATATTTAACACTGTATTGTTAACACAATACAAATTAATTTGACAATTAGCAAAATATAAAAATATGCACTGATAATAATCGGACCTCAATTTTACACCAGAAATCCAATGAAATGAAGGAATTTACACTTTTCAATATTGAAACTATATATATAATTTTAATCTTTTAGAACAAAGTAGGAGTCCGATTTTTAAAAGTGTATAATATTGTAATTATAAAGGATGACAGGAGATCTAAAGCACTCTCTAAATCTGAATTAGTAGAATTCTACTAAGGAATAGTAAAATTTGACTAATTTTTAGTAGTTTTCATGGACGACTTTTCCCCTTTTCAATTAGTAGAATATTACTAATTCTTAGTAAAATTTTACTAATGTTTTAGTAGAAATTGACTAATTAAAAGTCACTCATTTCACTAAATGAATTAGTAAAACTGTTTTATCGACTATTAATAAAACAGTTCTACTAATTGTTAGTAGAAATCTACTAATCAATTAGTAAAATTCACTATTTGTTAGTAATATATTACTAAATCATTTGGTGGACGACTTTTCGCCATTTCATTAGTAACTTTCTACTAATTCAGATTTAGAGAGCAGTTATCATTTTATAAAATAAATAATTAATTGGTAATTTTAATATTTCTGAAGAATCTTACTTTATAAATAGTATTTGAAAGTTTTACAGACGTTGTTTAAATTATGTTTTTAAGGTTCGAAAATGGAGTTTAAATTGAAAAAATGTATAAACAAACTTGGACTAGTAGACATAGATAAATTTATCAAAAGCTTGGTTCAATTCGCCATTTTGTCTATCTAATAATTTACTGTTTACTTGAATATTTATTTGATATCCAATTTATTTAGATACATTAGAAATATAGAAAATTCCTCTCTGTGTGATAAATACGAAATATTTTTGTTCAAGCTTTTAAACACTGTATTTCGAAATGTTAAAAATATATTAAGTATGTAAATTAAATTAACATTTATACATATCTTTAATTAAGTAATGATAGATTAAAGCTTTTTGAAATAAAGTTTTTAGATATTATATTAAACAAATAATACAAAAAAATTTTATTTAATAGAAGATTTTGAATTATTAAGTCGGACCAAATTTTCAATTCCAAAATTTAGATTCCCCCAAAAGGCTGTTCAAAAATTGAAAATGAATATAATTCAATAAAATATTAAAAATATATATAATAAGTAAATAAATAAAATGAATTTAAAAAATGAAGGAAAAGAAAGAAATCAAAAAGAAAGTATGTATTATTTCTTTCCAAAACTCACCTGTGGAGTTTGAATATTTTTGTTCTTGTCAACAATCGGTATGTTATCAAGTGGCTGTCTGAAGGTAATGTTCTTATTTTTGTTATCTAGCTTCTTTTTATTATTATTCGACGTGCTAAACCGTTTCCAGGACAACGCATTAATAAACAAAGAATGCTTCTTGAGATTTTTCTCCAAGGCATTTTTCTCTGAGATAATTCTTGCATTATCGTTATTATTTAAATTTATATTATTATTTTGTAGGGAATTATTATTTGTCGGTGGATGATTCGTGGGAGGTAGTGGTGCCATTGTAGACACGCTACTCTTATTCTCCCTATTCTTCACGTTATTCAACTGCTCGTAATTGTAATTATTCAGCGTGAAGTCCGCGGGATGCTCACCAGGCGGGTAAACAGATCCACGCCTCTCTCTTGGACTGAAAGAAAGCACCGTACCCATGTTGACTTGAACTGGCTGAGTATTTTCCTTGGACTGCTCCTTGAAATTCTTTTCCAGAGCTTGAGAAGGGATACTCTGATTTTGCTGATGAGTCTGATGCTGGATTAGGGTTTGAGTGTGGGGAAATTGATTTAAAGACTCAGGATTTTGCGGAGGAGGAGGTTTCGGGGGACTGGGGATGTTGATAGTTGGGGGTGGAGGAGCGCCAGGTATGGAGGTCTCCCTTGAGGGTCCCGTCAGCGGGGTTGCATCCCCTGGCTCTATGGCCTCCTCCACGACGGGACCCACAACTTCACTGATGCGACCTCCCAGCCTGCCGCCTTCTTAGCTTCCTTTTCACTGAGAAATATGTCCTCTCAAATTCTTGCGAGCAGACTGCTCTTTGACTTTCAATTTACTCCAAAGTATAACTTTCTTTAGTCAATATTTTTTAGAGTCCAATTCTTAAATAATCGATCCTAATTGCCTAATTAAATTAAATCAGATGGCAATTGTTTATTCGAAATTGGATATTTGAGAATCAATGGATTCTAATAATTGGAGATGGATCAATAAGTGACTGTATTTTAATCATGGATTAAAAATTTCTTAATCTTAGTTTTAATAATTGAAGAAACTTTTGAAATTTTAGTGATTTTCGAAATTTTTAAAATAGATTGAGGGGTTGATAATGGGCGAATGACGGTAGACCAGGTCGTGGGGCAAAATGGCGAGCGATCGATGCTTTGGCTCGCCGCCCTGTGTCGATGTGGTATCTTTAGAAAATGTCACTAAGATTGATAAGTGACCCGGATCTTCAGTGCAACTGGAAATTCCTGAAATTAGAAAATTCCTATAGATTCCAGTAATTATGAAAATTGTCTTTACGGAATGTTGCGTCACTTTATGGGGGATGTAAACACAAGACACTCGCGAGAAAGGTGTGCGCGTCAGAATTGATGAAAACACTCACTGGCCACTGATAAGTAACGGTCTCTAGAAAGCCGATCTGTAAGAATAGTACTGATATAGGACTTGATTTAAAGATTATCTTTTACTGACAATGACAATAATAACAATAACAATAATAATTAATGTTAACGTCTCGGGGAGCGTTGAGAGTGCTGCTGCAAGCTCTCGTCGCGACCTCGCGTTGCTAGTGTGGTCGCGAGCGATTGACGAAGATGTTGTACGCCCCTTCAGATTCCGTGCGCGCGCAATGGTTCGATAAACGCTAACAGTGGATGTCGATTCGAGTCGGGGGTGGATAGACAGAGAAAGTATACTTTCTGAAAAAGAGGCAGAAAGAGGGAGAGTGAAAGATACCTAGATGCTGGAAATGAAAGAGTGCGAGGGTATATAGTCTTGCCGCCCGTAGCTATCGAGACAATATATACGCCCGATTCGTCCACCCCTGTCGAATGACTCCTGCTACTGGTGCGGCTGGCACAACGAGGATTGCTCTTTTGCAGTTGGTGGCTCAACAACTACGAGAAATAATAAATTCTAGAGAATCTCTGCTACTAGTGTCTTAGGTCAGGGACTGAATTTTTAATATCTATATTAATAAAATCAGACTTCTGCCTGTACATTGTTCCAAACTTGAAAAATTTCATATTTTTTCGTTTCAAGACATTAGGATCCGAAATATGTAAAAAAATTGTCTGTCTGTCTCTCCATCTGTATGTGTGTATAATTATATATATACTAGGGGGGCTTCGCCCCCCTGCGCGCTTCGCGCGCCAACCCCCTAACTATTTTTAATATTTATTTTAATTTTTAAAATCATGTTATCTTAATATGATGGCATAGTAATGAGTTAGAGTAAATTATAACAGGAGATATTAAAAAAGATAACTAATAGAGAATTCTACTTTACGGAAGTGATTATAGTGTCAACTTTTTCAAGTTTGACACTCCTCATAGTAAATTTGATAATTCTTTTTTCTCAGTGTCAAAAGTATTATTGGGCCCCTTTTTACCTGCAGTTGACATAAATGTTGACGTAATGTAAGGGCCATTAGGGGCTGTCCATAAATTACGTAAGTCATTTTTTGGGTAAATTTGACCCCCTTCCTCCCTCGTAAGATATTTTACATACATTAGCACCATTTTTCCTATTGTTCGCAAGATCTTGCTGACCCCCTTCCCCCCTAAATGTCTTATGTAATTTATGGACGGACTAAAGATTTCGACGTAAAATAATAGACGTTTGTGGGCTTCATTTTACCCGTAGGTCAAAACTGACCTTAAAATTGACCTAAATTTTGAGGAAACAGTAGGTCAGAAGGAATTTTCTTGTCAATTTTTGACGTGTAGGTCAAAACTGACCTTAAAATTGACCTAAATTTTAAGAAAATATCAGATCAGAGGGAGATTTCTGGTCAAATTTTAACTTGTAGGAAAAAATTGCCATTAAAATTAAAGTACATTTTGAGGACAGAAAAATAATTTTAATAGAATTTTTAAAAAAAATATGTCAATTTATAACATCTTTTATTGATTGAAACTTAATATTGAAATTTAGGTCAAACTTCTTTTAACCAATAGGTCGAAAATTCCGTCAAACTTTAATATAAGGGTACGACTTTTTAAAAAATCCTAATTTATTTGCTTTTTTCATGTATAGGCTAAAAAATATGTCAAATTTAACCTAAATTTTAAGGAAAGGTCAGGTCAGAGGAAGTTTTTTTCGACAATTTTTGCGGTGTAGATGAAAACTGACCTTAAAATTGACCCAATTTTTGAGGGCAAAGGGAATTGTTCGTCAATTTTTTCCGTTAAGGTCAAAACTGCCCTTAAAATTAACCTACATTTTGAAGGTAAAGGGAATTGTTTGTCAATTTTTTACCTGTAGGTTAAAACTGCCCTTCAAATTAACCTAAATTTTGAGAGCAGAGGGAATTGTTTGTTAATTTTTGACCTGTAGATTAAAACTGCCCTTAAAATTAACCTACATTTTGAGGTCAGAGGGAATTATTTGTGAATTTTTGACGTTTAGGTCAAAACTGCCCTTAAAATTGACCTACATTTTGAGGGCAGAGGGAATTGTTTGTCAATTTTTTACCTGTAGGTTAAATCTGCCCTTAAAATTGACATAAATTTTACGGGCAGAGTAAAACGCAATTTTTAATGCTTAGGTCAAAACTGCCCTTAAAATTGAACTAAATTTTGAAAGCAGAGCGATAAGTTTGTCAATTTTTAACTTTAAGTCATAACTACTCTTAAAATTGACTTAAATTTTGAGGGCAGAGGGGTTAGTTTGTTAGTTTCTTACCTGTAGGTTGAATCTGCCCTTAAAATTGACCTAAATTTTGAGTAATTTTGGCCTGTAGGTTAAAACTGCCCTTAAATTGACCTGAATTTAGGTCAAATATAACTTGTTTCTGACGATGGACCTACCTTGACAGTGGGCCAACCTTGACTATGTTCCCCCTACTATAAGGGTCCCTTAAAACTTTCTGAAACAGCGGCGGCGGCGATATGATTTTATATTAATAGGGATAGATATATATGCGCATCGCTGAAAAACGGTTTAACCCATTAAAGTGAAACTTGTCAGTCTGTATATTAATTTGTATATTTAGTTGAACGGGAGTTGTAACACTTAAAAAATTCAAACAATAAAAAAATGCATATTTTTTAATTTTTGTTAAGTATTGTTTAATTTTTTAATGAATTTTGTATTGACGCGTGTAGAAAAATTTAAGGGCAGTCAGGAGTCCAGAGATTGACCCAACTAGACGCATCTGGACGGTCTAATCTGGACGGTCTAACTGTGTGCTATATGGGATTTTTCTGGACGGTCTAATTTAGACTGTCTAACTGTATGCTATATGGGACTTCATTGGCATCACTAGAATTCAAAATTTTTAAAGTACAAATCAATAAGTACAATCAAGACTTTAGTGCCCGATTTGTCGGTCTTCTTTGAATTTATACATGGATTGTCACTTCAAAATTCAATGGAATAATTTAGTATCTAAAGAATCGTTCAAAAATAAATATTGTAGGTTTATATGAATTATTATAAATAAAATTTTCAATGAGTTTAATTAAAAATTCTAAAGATCTTAGATTTTTGAAAAATGCCTAATAATTCAAATTCTCCTGAAATTAGATAAATTTTTTAACATATTGTATTTGATTAATTATTAAAAATAATTTATCTGTAGAAGAATTTTAGTTAAAAACACTATAAACAATTGAGTGTTGGAGAAGTTACAGATTATTGTAGAAATTTAATTATTTTCAAAAGTAACAAAATTCTACACAGAAATTCAATTATGTTCAAAAATTTGTTTAAATTCTCATCAAAATTTCAATTATCTTTATAAATAATAAAATCGTTCTCTGAAATTCAATTATTTTCCAAATTTTTAACAAGATTCTTGGCAAAATAAAATGTAAGCAAAAATTTAATTACTTTCATAAATAAAAAACCTTTCACAAAAATTCAATAAGGATTTACAAATTTTTTATAAGTTTCTTCTCAATAATTCAATTATTTTTATAAATAATAAAATTCTCAAAATTTTTTTATTATTCAAAATTTCTTAGTTAATCTCAGAATTTCTTAATTATTTTTAATTCAATTTTAATCGAATTCTTCGAAAAGTGTATAATTATACTTAAGAATTCTATTGAAATTCGCCATAAGAATTCAATTATTTAAAAAATTTTTGATAAAACTGAAAGTAATTCATTAAAAAATGGTTAATGATTATAATTGTAGTAAGAATTATTTATTTAAATATTCATATATAATAATTAAAATAATTCGGGATTATTATGTGTAATAATTTTAGTCATAGTTTTCACTTCGTCCTTATAAGCAACAGAATATATGACACTGGCATTGATATAGTAAATTAGGAGAGTTCACACCCAGACTTCAGTGGCCGTGCGGTTAAAATGCTTCGAGTCGGGTCGTCAAGGGTGGGGGGCGTGAGTTCGATCCCCACATGCGAGCGGATATTTTTCATTGTAAGTGTTATATAAAATAATAAAATTACTGTATTTAATCTGTATAAGTGTTATAAATTAAAATTGTAAACATGTTTGTAAATAATGTTAAAGGCCTGTTAAAGAATGAATTTAACAAATGTACCAATTAACGCAAATTGTTTTTTTATTAAAATTATCTTTCAATATTACTCTTTTAAATAATATTTACTGCTAGTGCAGTATATTATTTATTTGAAAATAATATAATTATTATAATAATAAGTTATTGTCATTAAATACATATACACATATATATGAATAACAATAATATTTATTTATTATTAATAATTCATATTTTCACATTACATTGAATAAACGTGAGAACCGAGTAAATTTGGGTAAATTATTTAAAATTAAAAAACTGAAATATTGAAATCGAACCTAAAATTTGAAATATTAGTACTGCTCATTAGCCCTGATTAGCTCGTCCAGTCTAGACCAACGCGTGGTTCGATCGTCACTGGTCTGATTAGCCCATGGTCAGACAGTCTTTTCAGCGCCCAGTTAGAGAATAGACTGTCTTTCTGGCACCACACTAGAACCCAACAATTTTTCTACACGGGGATATTTTCTAATTGATTAATTAATTTATATCAAATTAGGAATGTTGTATCAGAAATTTAAATGTACAAAAAATTTTAACTGTTATAAAATAAAAATCTTAATAATTTTATTTGAATCTATTCATTATTCATAAATAAGATATTTTTTAAGTTAAAAAATTAAAAATTAGTAGGGGAGAGTCTCCAGTTGTGAGACGGGTTTCATTTTTGACCCGTAAATTGTAAACGGGTAAACGAAATTGTAAATAAAATACACCGTTCGAAAGGTAACAGAAATACGCAACTTTTATTAAAAGAAAGTATAGTGTTTCGATGAACTCAAAAAATTTTACGATACATTTTCCGAGCACATCGCTTTTTTCAAAAAAAAACTGTCTCCAGTTGTGAGACACTAATTAAAAATTGCTAAAATTTAATAAGTTTGTCATAAAACGTTATGTTTAGTAGAAACAATTAAATATATTAATAATATATATTATTATATACTAAATAATAATATTTATTCGCCAAAATATGACTATCAAATAAACACAATTTAATAGCGTCAACAAGAGCATTAAAATTGATTTCTTCTGAATCAATTGACTTTTTTCCACTTGACATGCCCAAAAATACTAAAAAAAATCAAAACAACATTTAAATAGTATGCCTGCAAAGTCGTATTTTTTATTCTGCCCAGATGGGTGTTGACACAATCTCACAACTGGTGATATGCTGTGTCTCACACCCAGAAATTGGCGCTATTTTGAAAAAGGAAAATTAAATTATTTTCAACCGTAGATTGGAACAATTGAATATTGCATCACAAAATATAAGGAAAACACTAAAAGAAAATGCATTACATTTACCTTTTCCAATTAATTAAATTGGAAAAAAGTACTTTGCATTTATTGAAAAAACGCTTTTTAGTCGATTATCACACACAGTGTTGGTATATAACAAAAACAGTTTATATATCCGCTTCGGCGTCCACGAAAAAGTTGGCTCATATAAAAAGAAATGTTTTTATATAAAC